TCCTAAATATTTCGTTTATAATTCATCCAATTCGTTGTAGAATTTTTTTCGTGCTGCTGTAGTTTTGATTTCATTTCCGTTTCGTTTGTTTTTTGCAGTGTATCTGCACCGTTTAATTCATCATTTATTTACGTAGTTTCCGTTGCGTTTTTTCGATTTTGATTTTTTTTTTCACATTCTCTTTGTATTGGTTTTCCATTTCTTTTTTGTGAATCTTTTTTTATGTCTTATGTTTCATAACAACAGTTGACTTGCGTTTTTTTAGATTTGGCTTTTGGCTGGCAACTGGAGGGCTCCTCATCCGTGTCCAGCGTTGTCTAGCGGTGATCTGCAGTGCTTGACTGTGGGCTTTTGACTTCATTTCTGTTGCTGTTTGCTAGATAAATCATTTCAGATGCCATCATTAGTTGTCGTTGGTGTAGTCATTTTGTAGAGCAACGCTCATTCTACCACAATCTGGCAACACATGCATAGTCTCACACACACATGTACGTGTGCCCCCACACACTCGTACGCCTACATTTTAGTTTCTTAATGGCTTCCTTTGCTATTTTCATTTTTTCTAGTTCGTCTAATCGCTTTTTTCATTTTTTTCTATCCAAAATATGTTATTATTTTGTGCCATTATGAGGTTTGGCTTAGTTTGTGTGATTATGTGGCATCTCTTTTTTTTGCATTACGTTGTATACGTATGCCACATGCCTCCGCTTCTGTACTTGGGTTGCAATCATACGGAGAGACGAGTGTTAAGTAAATGGTAAATTTCTTTTTAATTTGAGACATTTACTCAAAGTCATAGTCATGCTCGGATATTAATGCTTTTCTCAGAATTTTGTCCTGCTGCTGTTCTTTCTATCGATGCCCTTTCCTGTCGTACGAGATTCGGTCATAGAGGTAGTGAGTTGTAATTTATGGCAACCAACGTTGCTTTTAGTACCGTAAAGTGGAAAAAAAGGATAAAAATAATATAAAATCCTAAATGGACAAAAATTCCGCAGGATTCGTTCACTTAGCTTTCATAGAGGTTAACAGTTTAATGGAACTTACTGACATCCTTCTACTTCCTTCAAATGTGACCAGAAGAAAGTTAAAAATTATGAAACTGTTTCTGATTTTTAAAACAATTAAAGTAAATATTTGAAAAAATGTATTAAAATGATTGACATCGTTTCACGACCAGTTGGATATGAACAAGACCAGATATGGAAAATGTTTATACAAGAGATTTTTCTTAAAACAAGAGATTTAAAAAGTGCTAGCACTTTTTACTATTGCTGCTATCTAATTTTTTTTCTTTTTTCCTCTTGTTTTTATAACTATTAGCTGATATAGGGAAAACTCATATTGAATTAGCAGCTGTGGCAAAGAACAAGTCAGTCCAGCATTTGAAATCTCGAAAGTAACGATTATTTGGCAAAATAACGAACCTACTTCCAGCTTTTAAACGAAGGTGTACTCTTTAGAAACATTTAGTGTCAACATAGGTAAGCAAATGCATATAAACATAGTTTTGAAAATCGTCCTTTAAACACATTTATTATTAAGAAATAACTAAACTTCTTATTTGAGTTGAAGTTAATTAATTGCTGAAAAAAAGGTGCGAAGGAGCACTCTGACAATATAATTATATTAAAATTTCTTAGTAGTCAACTAGTTTGTGTTATTTTGAACTTTATCTTTAAACTTAATTCAACTTAATAAGAATTATAAAATTTGGATTTAATTGCTCAGCACTTATACAATAATGAGAATCATAAGATATGTCTTAATAGGTATTGCGCATATATGCATGCACGATTACAATAACCGTTATTGTACCTTATGGAAGAATCCGCTATGATATGATTTGTACAAAGATTTTCCCGACTTTTTTCTGCATTTAAGTTAAAAATTGAGCCCTAGATAGATATATTTAATATATATTGTTTTCTTTTACGGCGTTGGTCGTATGCTGACCTTTTAGTCTATGTACGTACCACCGCTATTCCTGTGGCATCGTAATAAGCTATTATTTGAGCTGAAGTGGGCTTTCTTGGATACAAGGTGGCCACTTCAACCTACTTACTTATCCATCTAAGATAAGAGTTGTTATAGTGTTATTAATAAGTTCGAATGGAGTTTTTTATAAAGCAATTTAAATTTTTAATCCAAACTAAAACTAATGAAATACATATCGTAAATATCTTGGCACAAAAAGTAGCTAATATGACGTAGGAGTATCGTCGAAATGCCGTTCGTGATGAACATGGCAAGTGAGTTGTGGTAAATTTTTACTCATTTGAGATATTTTAAATTTTTTATAAGTTTTCATGTTCAGCACAAACAGCATTTATGGCAGCAGCAAGAACAACAACTAGAACAGTTACAATGAAAATATCTGCGCTTTGCTTTCTGCATTATAATATATGAATTAAGTATTGCGATGTATCCGCCTAAGCCCGCTCTTCTCGACTTTCATATAGTACGATAGTATGGCAGAAAGCAGAAAGGAAAATTTTAATATTTTTTGGATTAAGTTCAGTCGAGTATGCGAAAGCAGATACTTAACTTACGCCGTTCACGTTCTCGTTCCCGTGCGCATCGCCATTCCATCTTGTTCTCCTAGACAAGGCAATTCGTAAATGCGTTTATTAAAAATTTAAAAAAAAAGATATATGATGCATGTGAATATATATTTAAATATAGTATAAACATATGTAGAGAAATGTTTAAAAAGAATAAAATAGAAATAAAATCGTAAATATTACATTTTTCGTTATTGCATATTCAAGAGCTCTTCAAAGTTCTCCACACTGAAAATAAAAAGTGAATAAAAACATGGCACATAAAACTCTGATTCCTTTAGTTTGAAGATACATAGTATTTGTAATCTACGAGGAGATGGTTTGTACTATAGTTTTATTTTAATAACAGTATTAAAATTATATATAAATCCATAAATCCTGTGAAATTGCCGAAATAATACGTTTTGGTAAATCAAAGTGAAACGCCTGTAGAGATTATAAAAACGTTAGTTGATGCGGGCTCAGTTATTGCATTGTACATTACGGATAGTTTTGTTATAAAGGAAATTCTTTAATAAAAACATAGAATTTAACCATTCGATAGAATCATGGATTGAAGGTTGTTTAATAGTTTAAAATAAAATATTTTAAATCTTTTACTAAATATTAAATAAAATTTTTTGAATTTTCATACCTGGCAAACTTCATTCGAATACCTTTTTATGAGTTATGTTATCATCTTAATACCTATGTTTTATTCTCTATTTTAATGTTTTATGCCATATCACCGTCAGCTACTTGTAGAGATCACTTGCGATATTGAAACGATCATCGATAACAAAACTACTAACACTACATTTGATGCTAATACAAACTAGTGGCATTACTTATTTCGTTCGTCAATTTGAAAAATTGTTTAAATTTCTTGGCTACTGTAATGATCGACGTTGTATTACAATAATATCAGTAGACCAAGTCACTTTGAAGTAAGCCTTACACTTTCAGAAAAGTGCTAGTGAACGGCAAGGTATTCTTGTAATGAACCTCATAACACTAAAGACTCACAACAGTTAACTATGGATTTCATAGATAATTTCAGCGATTCTATGATCACTGATTGCAAAGCCTATAAATTTGTATTTGTATTATGTTGTTTCGCATAGGTTGGATCGGTTGAGAGGGTATGTGTTTAATACAAACATGCAATTTTCATTAATCCATTTCGTATCTAACTTTGAAATTATTTAAAAATATATAAAAGTAATTAATTTAATGTTTTTTATTTGTGTTACTTAGTTTCATATCTTAATAATATAAAAATACATATTTCGAACAGTTTTCATCTGTCCATGAGTTTACCCGGTTGGAAATAAAGAGTGTCCAAAAAAATACTTTTTTAATCAAATTAAAATTAAAATAAACAGAAATAGAGCTAATATATTTGTTATAACATGTGTTCACAAAAATCCAAATATAATTTTCGTAATTTTTTCCGGGCGCCTTAGTTATGTGCCACCAGTTATGTGGTTATGTGCCACCAGTTATGTGGTTATGTGCCACCAGACGCCGTCAAAAAAAGGCGTGTGGTAAACCACACGCTGAGTCCCATAATACTACTCATACAATGATGAAACAATGCAATATAAATGTTTCTCGTTAGGTAATGAAATAATATGAGACTATTCTCTCTAATAAATATCATACTCTTCTGATTTACTTAAACTTTTTATGTTCACTATGTAAAGTAGTAATGAGTCTATATTGAAATTTGATTGCTGGTTGAGTTAGTCTGAATTTGGTTGTTACGTGTAGCGGTTGCCTTTTTTCATGTTAAAGTTCTGTCGTTATTATTTACTGTAAATAAAATTATAATGTCGTGCCGAAGATATCTAACAAATCAAGAACTATTGGACATTATTGAAAATCGGAGCGAAGATGACTCATTAGTGCCTAACGACACTTCGCTGCCTATTGAAATGGTGGTATGTTTGCCCCCGGATAATGTTGCTGGTGAATCGGACAATGAAATGCTTGACGACGATGAAATATCAACAAACCTTACATGCGATTTAAGCCCTTTGAATGAAGTGGCCGGTTAGTATTTCTCCTTTTTTGAATTGGGTTTATCTAATTGTAAAAGGGTATTTAGGTACTGTTGAAGTCGTATGCGAATCAAATGAAGAAGATTATGGTGGTTTTGAGGAAATGCCTGAGTCGCAATCAGTGGTATTGGAACTTGAAACATCTGTAAGAAAATATCGTCCTCAAAGTGATTTTAAGCCGAACTGGAAAAAGACTACGCGGTACAAATATGATATTTATCCGATGCATGAGCCACTACAGCAAACAAAACAAACTCCAATGCTGGCGGCAATTGGTAGTGTAGCTTATATCTATCTCAGGCATCAGATTCTAACATAATTTCATTTTTATTTAATAGATAAAAAGAATCCATTACAATTATTTCAATTGTTTTTCGATGATGATGTTGTTGAAATGCTTGTGGAGGAAACCAATCGTTATGCAGCGCAACACAATATCGCAATATGTTGCGATAAATATTTAATTCAGCGTTTTATTGGAGTACTCCTATTTTCTGGATATCATCATGTGCCAAATGTAAAATTATATTGGAGCATGGATCCAGCGTTTGGAATACCAATCATACGACAAACAATGACGCGTAATACCTTCCTGCGGCTAAAATCAAATTTCCATATCGCAAATAATGACACCTTGTCAATGGCTGACAAATTTGCAAAAGTGCGGCCATTGTTCAAAATGCTAAATGAACGTTACATACAATTTGGTGTCTGGGCGGAGCATTTATCAATCGATAAAACCATGGTACCATACTTTGGTCGACGCTCTGCTAAAATGTTTATTCGTGGCAAACCAATACGTTTCGGTTATAAGCTATGGACCCTTTCTTCGGATAGTGGGTATATCTTCCAGTTTCTGCCGTACTCCGGTGCAACTGACAAATACGACAAACAATTGGGAATCGGTGCATCTGTTGTAATGGAATTATTGAACCACTGTGAGCATCCATTGCAACATACCGTTCACTTCGACAATTTTTTCACATCGCATTATTTATTGTGCTTGTTGAAAGAACGTGGTTTCTGTGCATCTGGTAAAGTTCGCTCTAATCGCATTGCTGGTGCCACATTGAAAACAGGCAAGAAACTCAAAGGGCAGGTCACATTACAGAAATATGAATCAGATTTTTTGTACGATAAGACGAATAATATATTGGTAGTTCGTTGGATCGACAATTCCGAAGTCACTATCGCAACTAATTATGATTCCGTTGAACCCATAGTAAATGTGCAACGCTATAGCAGAGAAAAGAAAAAAAACATTTGTGTCCCACAGCCTCAAGTTATTAACAGCTACAACCGACACATAGGCGGCGTCAATTTACATGATAAAGGAGTTGTTAATTATCGTATCGCGATTAGAGGCAGAAAGTGGTGGTGGCCATTATGGGTACAGTTTTTAGATAGCGCTGTTGTAAATGCTTGGAAGCTACATTGCTTTGCCGCTGCTTCTAACAACACAAAACCGATGCCTCTGCTAGATTTCAAGAACTTCATTGCCAGAAACCTTCTTCTTGCATCAGAGGACTCAGTGTTCATTACAGAAGCTACCGTTTACGATGACTTGAAAAAAGAAAATCACAGTGCATCAGAAGATGTTTATCTTCCTGGAAATTTACCACGTGTAACCGGTATGCACGCTCCCACAAAAACTCGAAATCGCCGTCGCTGTATTGTTTGTACACCAAAAGCCACAGTTTTCACATGTGAAAAGTGCAATGTGCATGTTCATGTAGAAAATTGCTTTAAAACTTTCCATGAAAATAAGCAATATTACATTGATCGTAGACAACGACGCAAGTAAACTTATTCCTTTTCACATAATACAATACATATGTAATAATTCAAACATATTTTTTGATTAATAAATATTTGAAAATAATAAAACATTGACTTTTATACTTACGTGTACTTTATACAACTTACAACGATACTTACTTCACCATAAAAGTAACTTAATACCATATTTGCGAACAAAACACAGATAGAAATGTTTGTACTATCAAAGAGAGAGAAATGTACTATGGGTCCCAGCGTGTGGTTACACGACACCACACGGCACTTTTCCAGAAAACTACTTTTAAAAAAAAAAAAATTATTTATGCAGGGAATATTTTTTACGTAAAATAAAACCTTTCTGAAAATTTCACCATAAAATTCCAAGTTTGAACTTGCCTGGTACTTAATGGGTTAAGACACCTATTGCTAATACCTATTGCTATGCCTTTTTTGTTGCCGGAAAAAACTAACTCAATTAATCTTCAGGTCGTTAATTACTTGATTAGATCTATTTAGTCGATTACATTAGATTATAACTTCGTGCCCTGTTCATCTTAAACCACTTAATTTTTCAGATTAAGTTGAGCAGATCTGATAAAGTCATTGTCTATTTATAAGTCAATAAAGAAATGATTGGCATTGAATTCGCTTCATCTATAGTCCTGTATGTTAGAAGAATATCAGAAGTTATTGATTGTTTTCTTCAATAGCTAATTTTGTAGTAATAACTCCAACTAACCCATAGCCGTATTTGAATTGTATGTTCGCACATCTTTTTGAAGTAAAATTATATTTGTCAAAAAAAAAAATGGTATAAATCTATGTGGGCAACTCTTGTGTGGTTGTGTAGTACAGTGCAGTTAATGTATGGTAAAATTAATTTCGGATACTTTTTACACAGAACAAACGCATGTTTCTAATTAAAGAAAAAGACGTTTGTTTTTTTATACGACTAAGCATAATTTCTGCTTAAACTAACATTATCTTATAATTAAATTTTAATAATGGAACATTTAAGATAAGACGTTCAACAATTTTATGCTCAAGTCTATAAGGTTCCCGAAACAAACATTTTACGCTATTGAGCTTTAACTTGAGAAGAATTTTGTTATTGAATGCAAATATTTAATATTAATTAACTTATTTCAGAGACATTTCTTATTTATGTTTACTAAATGCAAATGTTAGGCAGAAATGGTTAATCCACTTCCTGTTGAAAGTATATGCCAAGAGCTGACATTTTTTGACATTCAAAACTAAAATGGCGGGGAGTTGGTTGGAAGGACGCGCTAGCAGTAGCGACATTGACAAAATTAAACCCATTTAAGTTGGGTCAACTCCCACTAATTAATTTAATGAATCACATTTTTAAGCTGAAGATGCCAAAAACATTCAAAACACAACCGGAACCGGAACCGGAAAGGAGCAACGCTACATGCGCAACCAATAAGCACAAGAAGCATCTGTAAAAGTCATTTTAAGTTTACATTAGAAAGTATGCAGTGACTTTGCAGTTGGACAAAGCATCAGTGCGGGTGAAGCAGTTGGGCTAGGGGTTGGAGAGGGTGAATGGGGTTATTTAAGTGGCTGTGTCAGTGACAGTGCCGAAGTCATTGGCGAAATAAAAAGGTCGACATATTAATTAATTCTACTAAGCGATAACACTTTGCCTCCATATAAACAACATCACCAACGACAACAACAGTGACGCAGTGAATGGGAATGAGGTGGTGTCGTTGGTGATGTTGGTAATGTTGAAGCGGAGGGAAAAAGTCCGAAAACAAAAAATTTTCTTACGCTGTTCACAGCTGAAATATATGTAAATTTATAAATTTCGTTTCATTTGTGAAAATTTGCTACTTTTAATTAAAATGACTTTATTAGGCGCCGGCACTCATGCTGAGCGTGTGCTGCACATTATTTGATGTAGGTCTGCCTATTGGTTGAATTTATGCTTCGCACTGGAGTCATGTTTGTGTCTGCAGTTGTAACCACTGACTGTTCCGAGATGTGTTCCAAAATGTGTTCTGTTGTGGTGTGCTGCAATGGTGGAAGCGTGTAATGTTGCATGAGCTACTTAAGTTCATATAATAGGGAGCAGCTGTTAAGATGAAGGACATTTGAAAAGCACGATATCCTACGTAGTGTAAGAGAAATAAGTAAAAACTCCGGAAACGGATGTTGCAGCTCGACTACTATTGCGTTGGCAGTACGCCAAAGCTACTGAAATACCCATTGCCAATGCTTGTGTCTATGCTTGCGTTCGTATCCTTGCCAATATTTAGAAACAAAAAAAGAGAAACGTAACAATTTAGTAAATATTGGAGGGCACGTGAAAGTAGAATTGCAAATAGTGAAAAGGACATCGGAATGACCTTATATTATACTCGTAAAGCCAAACCAAGACACAATTACACGAACATATATTTTTTGTTTATAATTACTTCAAAACTAACAGACGCACATGATCCAAGCAAGAGCAGGTTTTCAACTCCCGGGAAAGTGTTTAAGAGCGTGAGATATAGAGTTCACGAATAATTAATTACGAATTTTACGATGCAAGACATCGAACCGAAGACAGAAACAGTATAAAAAATAGCTAGAAAGTAGAGACTAAAGAAGAAAGCGATTGGTTGAAAACTTTGTTCATGTTTGGCAAACACTAAAATAACAAAAATATCGGCCTCAATATTGGCATCCTTGCTAAGAGAAATTTATGTGTCGTACATAAATTGCGATATTAAGAATTCAACAATCAATAATTATTTTTAGTGGCAATTTCATTAGACACCACCGCAGCACTCCAGCACTTGAGGACTACATTTCTAATTTTCTGTCTGGTTTCCGTTTTGCAGGATTCGGCATATGGAGCACTTGGCAATTGCAGTCGTTATGGCCGAATGAAGAACTTGGTGCCACTGTCCTATCTGCGGCTATGGCAAAGTGTTGCTAATTATTGCTTGATTGCACCAATTACACCAACGATTAAGTTCTGTTAAAAATTTCATTTAACAAATACAGCAGATCTCCTTGTTTCCTTCTTTGCTTTTTTTCCTTTCCCCTGCGCTTGTTCTTCTTCTCGACTTTTGGCAATTTTCAATAAAAGACTTTCGCTATTTGGTATAAGTTCCTTGCACATGTTTTATATCACTTTCACACTGCCTTCATGAACTACTTCTCGAATTTGACTACTTCAAAATTAATTGTTAAGGTAGAGTCCTATCTGGTATTAAATCGCGAGTAGGCCTATTGGCACTTATAAAATGGAGCAAAGTCTCGGCATTAATTTGTAGTAAAGATCATGTGGGAAGTACATACCGCACTTAAAAAATACTTAATACTTTACGTCTCAGATTTCTTTCAATCTTTTAACATATAGCATCCTCTTGCATTTCCGCCTGTGCGTGATGATGTACGACGTAAACATAAGAAGGTTATAAAGTAGTTGTATTTGCTGGATACTTTGTTATTAATGATTCCTATCCCACCTATCCTATCTTTTTTCTCAGATGTACCGCTGCAGAATCGATGATACTTTTGCAGTTCCTTCTTCACCACATTAGCAAGAATCGATTTCACTTTCTCCAACTTTTGCAGAATTTTGCAGTTTCTTCTATTAATCCAACTCGTCAATTTCTGCCGTTTTATATTTTTGTCAATTTCAATGTGCTTCGCTTTAGCAATTCAATGCACTGTTTTCTTCAATGCACTTGAGGTCTGGTATTCAGTATATATTCACATTTCATGTTTGTTTAAACGTCACATTTAATATTTTTATAGCTCCACTAGTATTGGAAAGCTTTTTTGTTATAATATGCGATGACTACATAACTGCACGGTTATATATTACAGGTAGACTTTCAGTTCGAAGTTGCTTTCTTTGTAAGTAGGTACTAGTTACCTTACTGGGTTTCTTCCACAAGCTAGATTGAAGCATTTACTTCGTTCATCTTTAACGAGTCGTTTGTGTAGATTTTATTTTGTTATAGCCGTGAGATGATCTAGTTCAAACCGCCTTACCATCTGTCTTCTTCTATCACATCTAATTTGCTATTTTAAGCCTTATAGCTATCAGGTGGGATAGTTTAGTGTTCTTCGATCATGGTCTGTAGTTAGAGATCTCATATCCATGTGATGGCATGTTTACAAGCCTTTGCAACATCTCTCTTCTTCGATGTAGTCGGATCGCATACATACAGTATCAGAGCGGAAGTGAATAAAGTAGCCCCAATTCAACCGTTTAATGGAAAATTATGTAGAGGTTAATATGTGGAAAGTTCTTGGTAAGATGAAAAACTGAAAGTATCAAGTAATAATAGGTGTCATTCCTTGATGGTCTGTCAAAAAATATCTGTGTATTTCTGGAGTTGTAGAATCCCGTGATTAATAATTAGAGTTCCCCATTGGTTTTTAAGGTATCTAATAAATATAATTCGTTAAATGTCTTGTATCTTTTAAAACTTGCAGAAAAACTAAATGACGAAATTGATAAATATATTTCATTAAATTTTTGTTGTTTCATTGAAAGAATTTTGATGATTGTATATAATCCAATACAGGCAAATAGTATAAGTCTTTGGGTTTGTAAAACAACGACGACTGATTACTAAGCTTTAAAACTCAATTTGTTTTTGCATTAGCGCCGAAAGCATTTTATCAAACTTTCCACTTAGGAATTTAGTGTGCCTTCCATTAAAGGATATATCATCGTAAAATATTTTTGTCCGCATACAAATTGTGAATGAGCATAAGCGGGAGTCTATCAGTGGGGTATAGAAACCAACCTCTCTCCGCTGCAGCACTGAGTCATGACAAAATCAAACTGCAGATTTTTTAGTTAAACTTTTTGGTAAGCAATTCTATACTTTTTTTTCAACTGTCAGTTCAATAGTTTAGAGTAATTTCGGTATGAAAAACTGCTGAGTTAGTGCATTAGATTTCTACCGCCATCATGCAGGAGGTTGGATGAGAGCTTGCAAAATCCAGCATGCATACGATGTGCCATGTATGTGAGTGACGTTCAAA